ATAGCTTCCTAGTTAGGCTATATGTATGACAGCTAGTGTAGAACCCTTAGCATAGCACTAACGCTTCGGGCAGACTACTTAAATAGGCAACTAAAAGTTGTACGTGTGACTAGTTGTACTCTCGTTATACTGATGTAATATGTAAGCCGTCTTCGGATGGCCCACCCATTTGAACTAATAAAGTGCCAGGGGCCTAAGTGGTCACCTTAATATTAAAAAAAAAATAAATAAATAAATATACTATTTAAATTTTTTATAATTAAAATTTTTTTTAAAACTTCTATTACTTTAAAATTTTATAATAATTTTATAATAAGTTTATAAAATAACTATATTTTAAATAAAATATCATATATTGTAATACTGTAACAATTCAGGATTTTAAAATGCTATTATTTGATTTAATATAAAAAATATATATATATGTACAAAAGAAAATAAAAAAATAAAACTAAAACACAAATAAAATTAATAAAATAAATAACATTAAACAAATATATATATATACATATTTAAAAATAAAAGAAAGAAATAATAACTTAATACTAAAATATTTTCTTTGCCCCAACTATAACTTATTCAAATACAACATCTTTATGAAACCTATGCCCAGGTAAATTTACATCTATTACCTTTTTAGCCTGTTCTGCACCTGTTATAGGTAATCCTTCTTTATTTAACAATCCAATTTGTGCTAATACTGATGCTTGATCCCAATAAATATGCTCGCTATGTAGCTTGTCACCACGAAAATTAACAATCACCACTAATGGTATTTCAACATATTTGTTGGTTGGTGCAACTCCTGGAAGCACCCAATCTACTTCTTGAGTGTGTGTAAAACAGAATACCATTTCATCGACTAATCGGTCTAAACCAATTGTTCGTGAGATAGGAATTATACGACCATCTGGTGGATTACAATGAATGAAGTGATGCTCATCTATTGAAATCATGATTAATATATAGAAAACTTATCAAAATTCGAATGAAATGAAATTATAGAAATTTACAAAACTGAGCAATTTGTTTATGCCCAACAGCACCGGTCATTGTTGGGACATGGTTAACATATGCTTCATTAGTCTTGTTAAAATGATCAAGATTAGAATTTAATTTGATATATAATTTGGAAAGAATAATTTTCAAATTACTTACCATTGTTGACACTGTCATTTGTACATTTTTCGTTTCAAATTCATATTCCATATGTTTATCCCAAAGAGCTGACAAATCAAAATACGGACCCAATATTTTTTTTAAAACATTCAAAGACCTTGTGTAAGCTATGCGAGTAATACCTCTGATCTCTGCAGAATTTTGATTTTCTGGCGCAGCAAATCCGTGTGGTATCTTTTCATATTTGAAAATTTCTACATTATTAGATGATTGCTTAATTTGATCGATAAAATTGGTAACATTGGATTTTTCATCAACCGGCATATGAATCACGAAAGGAACTTGAATTTTCATTAAATCAGGAACGTGATCTTCAAACATTGTTGGGTAATAAGCTACGCCACAATCAATTAAACAGGGGTTCCGTTGATCATGCGATGCTTTCGTCATTAATTGTATTGCGATATCCCCACCTTTTCCACGACCAATGATTCCTATCTTACCAATCCTTTCAGGAACCGATGTAAGACGATGAATTGCTCTTTCAATACATGTAATCATGTATTTATCATCTGATGAAAATGAAGATAAATCTGGTACTAATACAACATAACCTTCTTCACTTAACGTGATGGTCTCTTTTTCGATTTCTTGGTTAATATTTAAATTTTCTGTAATGAAAATCAAACCAGGTCCAGAACCTTGTGGTGGTCTCAATAAAAAAGCCAAAAAGGAAGAAGAAGGTCCATCATCTTCCGGTGTAGAAATTTTTATAGTTTCTGAACGAACGCTCATTAATGCAGTCAGGGAATACGTACTGTAATGTAATGTGATCGTTAATTCTTCCGCATTTATCAAATTTGTCATTACCTGCAGTTCCTTTATCTGCTATTGGCCCATCAAATTCTCAAACTAGAATCTCAAAAAAACCTTATCTAAATAATTTATTTTCATAGATATATAAATTTTGATTTAAAAAAAATAAAAATCGATCTACATGATGGCACATTTTTTTAAAGTTAAACCGTTTTCAAATCAAGGGATCCTCACAAGTAGGTTATCTGCTTGTTTTGATAACGATTAGATTCTTTAATTTTAAGTGTCCAATGAGTAATTTAATTTTCTAGGAAGTTCAATTTTAAAAGTAAGGAATACAAGTAATTCAGTCAATCAAAATGGTTTAAATGAGTGGCAATTTCTATTTGAAGATGCATCTAACGAAGATGACAATAAAAAAGTAAGAAAGAAGACACAAACGGAATATCAAAAGTTGAAAAGATCACGACCGGATGGATACTTTAAAGCAAAGGAAGAATTTCGTCAAATATACTCAGCTCTCTTTGATCGACACCGACCAACAAAAGAGACCACGAATTCATCAGATTCAATACCATTATTACAAAAGCATTTAAATGAATTAAAAACTCAATCAAAAACAGAACAAATTATAAAGTATCCTCAATCAAAACAACAATCTGATGCAACAAAATGGTTTCATGAACAATTTGGAGAAGCTATAACGATGAAAATACAAAATAATTTAATAGAATGTAAAACAACTTTACAATTACGAGATTATATATCTAACCGAATATTTCCTGATTCAACAATTACCAAAGTTAACAATGAATCGCCTTTAAAAAAAAGTACTAACCGAAAAAATCGAGTAATTGATGATTTAGGACGACCTATAGATGCAAACTACGCAACACTTTTAAAAGAAAGTATAGCTTTATGTCGTACAAAGTTCAATGATCCTTATATGGCATTTGCAATCTTTGAACAAGTCAAACGTCGTGGTGTTATATCATACGTACTTGGTTGTAATGCACAAGTTTATAACGAATTAATTAAAACAAGATGGGATTGTTGGAGAGATCTCTATGGAGTTGGAGAATTATTGAACGAGATGTTGGTTAATGGAATTGATTTTGATGAAGGAACAAGAGAAGTTGTAAGTGATATTGCTTTGAAGGTATTTGATGAAGATGGGAAATTAACAGCAGGATGGGAACTCGAACAGGATGGACAAGTTTACAAAAATATAACGGAAGCTTTCAAAGTGTTTTCTAGGAAATTAAAGAGGAATTCAAATAGTTATAGAAGAAAAGATAATTAAACATTCATAGAAAATTTTTTTTATTTAAAATATATACTGTATATATTTGTAAATATCATTTATTTTTTTTAAATTTTTTGTAAATTGTAATTGTTTTTTTGGGGGTCTAGATTTGCCAGTTTTGACTGAAGTATAGTTTGTTGATTCGATCTTAAACTCATTCATTAAAACAGAATTTACATCAGAACGGATGATCTTCGTAAGAAACTACTGCAGGAATCATCGGTCCTGGTCCATAACTTTCTGAATCTCTAACGAATCTATAAAATCCCAAAATCTAAAACATTGATAATGAATTATTAAGGGCCTAATAATCCTAACATAGCTAAATTAATCATTGTAGTAATTTATTAATAAGTTTTATTGGGTGTCTTTTTTTTTTTTTTTTTTTTCTTTTGAATAGGTATTAAAAAAAGCTTGCAAAATGTGATCTCGTGGAAAATTAATACGGTTAATATTTTATTCCGTTATTTCGCAAAAACCACGTGCGAGTTTAAGAAAATCTAAAAAGATTTTTATTTTTCCCACATTTGGTTAATTAAAAATATTACAGTTAGGTCATACAAAGTTAATTTCTTGGTTTTCATAAAATATCAGAACAGACTCAGTAGGCCCAGATATCCAGTCTGTTATTAAAAATATCTAAAGTTTTCAAAATTTAACCAGGCTAGGCTATGATAACCAAGAAATGGATTTCGTATAGCCTTAATAAACAAATAACTGTTATCGATAACTTACCAGTAACGTCTTCCATTACTATGCCCGTTTTTCCCATCAAAAGAGTCAGTTCGTGATCGTTTGCTAAAAAAAAAAGACATTCGAATACAATAAGTGATAGAAAAAGTATTATGGTATTATGAATTATAAAGCTTTAGAATATACCTTTCTCTTCCACTGAAATCCAATTCAACCATATCGAATTCATCATCATCATCTTGATTTTCTATATCGACTTCTTCAAATTCGTCTACAGGCACAATTTCCTCTTCGTCATCTACATTTGGCGACGCGTCGGTTTCAGAATTATTAAGATTTGCATAATATTCTGCGTAGACTGACATAAATAAAAATTATTAGATAAAATTAAATGTTGAGTAAATAAAAATTATTAGATAAAATTAAATATTGAGTAAATAAAAATTATTAAATAAAATTAAATATTGAGCCAAATAGAAAAAAAAATTTTATCTTTATTTACTTACAACTTTCAAGTTCACTATCTTTCTCTTTTGTTCTACCACTTTCTTCGTTTTGTTCATTTTCTTGGGCAGAGCCCGTATTTACAGTATTATTAGCCATAACTTCACCTGTTACAGTGCTGCGAACATGCCATGCTGGCAGTGCATTCTGTAGTCTAAAGATATGTTATCCTCAAATTAATCAGTAAATCAAAAAAAAAAAAACAGTTTGCACTACATTGCCTTACCTATTCTTCGCGTGTTGAGTTTGTCTTTCTGCTTTAGAAGCTTCATTGTCATCTTGAAATACAACTACTATATCCTCCATATGTAGGTTGTGGTTTCTAGCGTACGGTACATCTGCTAAAATAATGATATAAAAATGTAAAAATGGATAATATAAACATAATAAAAACATGTTACAACATACGCATGGGTCCTTGTTGGTCTCCCTTTGCACCAGACGTGGCTTGTAACTTATCAATCGAAGAGCTTTTGTATGCAACAAGCATGAATTATGGAGATTCCAAATAACTTTCAAGAACCTAGGGGTATAGCATACATACACAGGAATCACCAACTTATCAGCGAATTTTAACAAATCTATGATAGGTTGACTTTGTTCCATGAATCTGAAATATAAATCGAAAAAAAAAAAAATTAAATAAAATCCAAACAAAATTAGAATAAAAAAATTAAGATCAAAATACCTTCCATGAAGTTTCTCAGTGTCTTTCACATTTTCAGCATTATCGTTGTGAATCAATTCCGTATGACATAAATCGCAAACAAGGGTCGAACGCACTGTGTCAAACAAATTACGTATTTCGAGCGGTGCGAATGTCTTTTTGCAACCTGTGCATAAATAGCCTTTATTTTCTTGTTCCTTTTAATTAATAAATATAAGATCAATTTTGAATCAAAAAAAAAAAAAAATTAAAGAAAAAAAAAAAAACGGATATTCAAATACTCACATTTCTCATTCTATCCCCCACCATTTCACGGATTCTATAAATTTTCCATTTTATTACGTTGACGACCTTTAAAGATAAAACGGAATTTTAGGAGCAAATAAGATTAATAAAATAAAATTATAAGCAATAACCTGTTGCCAGTCGATGTAATAAAATGTTCTAGGTATAGCCCGTTGCTCAGCCTTCTTTGGTTCAGCTTTGGTGAACGTCTTAATAAGACGCGCTTCCTTCAACGTTCCGCAAAGCTTGTGGATCTCTTTTACAGTAAGACCAACACCTTTTGCCAAGTTCTCGTCACTTATTGCAGTTTCATGTTTGGTTAGATAGTCAAGTACTACAATTTGTGGAGTTTGGAAGAAAGCTCGAGCCACCCTCATTAACAAAGCAATGAAGACGGTCATATCAGTTTTTTCTTCCATAGTGATATTTTCTTAATTATCGACCGACTAAGTCGAAGTCGATATTACTAAAAATTGGCTTAGACAGCTTAGCCGATTAAATAATAAATTAACGTGATTGATATATCTGTATTACGAGGATTTTTATGTGATTGGTTAATAATTTATATTGAATTTTCCCACTTTAGCAAACAGGATAGTTGCTGTAGTGCAGTAGTGATACAAATTCATATACAGTATATGAGTGTCGCCAAAAGAAAACCCGACAATTTAAATATAGACTATATTTAAATTGTCGGGTTTTCTTTTGGCGACACTCGTATCTTCTATGTATTCTTTACTATATACAGTGATAAGGTTCATAAATTTCTTACATTATCTTTCGAATTACAACTAAGCAGCGTTAATATTAGGATTTTATTTAAATTACAGAATTAGTGTATAGTATTTTTATTAAAAATGTACATTTATACGTATTACTGTATTAAATAAATAAATACAGTGGACTGATTATTCGTAAAATCACGATCTAAACATTTTTCTAATTTACAAATTGATAGATTATGGTTGATGCTATTAATTGTTATCCAGATCACACTACGTGGAGGTTGGTATCTTGTAATCATTTGAGTATATATAATGTAGAATTCGTAAACAACTATGTAGAGGACCGGGAAATCTTTATTATAGGTCCCCGCCATAAAATATCCCTTTTATATTCTTTGCGAATCGGGCTTTTTTTTATAATTAAACGAATCAGTTTTGCGAGCACCTTTAATAAGCTTTATTTGCTAGGATCTTTGAATATTTTGGAGTTTACTGACTTTGCTCGTATTTTACATTGATTTTCTATTCGGAAATGTTTCGGACCCGTGCTTGATTTTATATTTATATATGCGAATCTTATCAAGAGTAGTGACTTTTTTTCCTGCAAATCATATAAAGCCGAGACCTTATATTAATTAGGAATCTATGATAGGTCGATTACATTTTTCAAATTTATAGAATGTTGTCGTGGCGGGGACCTATAACAAAAATTTCCTAGTGTACATGCAGTAACTCAAAAAAAAACAGTATATGATACAGTATTTATAAACTACTAGCTTATATGCATTGACCCAAAAAGAATTTATTATCTGAACTACTAGTGTATATACAGTCGTCCTCCTCTATAATCACGCGGTTTATTTTACATAAAAAGATGTAATTATAAAAGTTTAATAGTAATGTGATTATACTGTATAAAGTTTTTTTAATAAATAAATTGCCAATAATTTTTCAAAAAATGGTGCTTATAAAGAGGTGTGACTACATAGGAGGTGACTGTAGAGGAGGATGACTGTATATTGACCATAAAAAAAAAACAAAAAATATACTGTATATAATATATATTTAGCAGATAGTATACAGTATATTGTAGATATACTGTGTTTTTATAAATAATTTTTATTAACTTTTATTAATTACCAATTAGATTTTTAGTATTTTATTATAAAAAATTTTTTTTATATATACTGTATTTTGATATGTTAATAAGTTAATAGAAATTAAATAAAATATTTATATGATTATAAAAACAATTATATAAGTGCTTTTATTTTTAAAATACAAAATTTAAGAAATAATAAGCTTTTAATTGGTTTAATTAAATAAAAAAAACCTAAATTACAATATATAGCTTGTTAAATTGCTATTATTTGTTTTATTATCATGATAAAGTATGTAAAATTCATGTAACAAATGTCAAAATGATATAAATAAAATAAAAATTAACAAAATTGCAAAACCTCAGGTCTAAATCGGATTGATTTTGACTGACTTCAAACCCAACCTGACCCTATTATTAGTGGCACTATTTATTCTTGTGAAGATTCATTGATTCGGAAAAATCTTCACCAAGCATGGGATTATCAGCCTCGTCTCTTGGTAGATTTGTATATTGTGCGTTTGAATATTGATCTTCGTTCTTTGGTGAAGAAGAAGCTTGTTGTCTAAACTTTTCATACCATTCTTTCACCTTTTTTTTTGTCGCTATTTTGAAACAAATTACAAATATAACTGCGACATCTTTTTATTTAACATAGAGAACAAAAATAGATTTTTTTTTCACACTTACTGTCTGCAGCTTGAATTATCTTTTCTTTAATTACTGGCAACTCCTCTGTAATAAATTATATTTTTAGTGTTAATCAGATATCTTATTGTTCATGATTCAAACAAAATGATTTGTATGATTCGCACCTGAAAAATCAGGAAATGCAGACGATGACGATTGCTGTTGTTGTTGTTGTTGCTGCTGCTGATTGTGATATTGCCGTTGTTGTTGTTCTGTAAGGTGTGAAGGAGGAGGACCTAATTCTCCTATATTGTGGATCAAATTACAGAATTAATTTGTTGTAAGAAGCTTTTTATAGAATAATTTTTTTGGAAATATAGATTTCATCAAACTTACTGTCAGCTTCAGCAGCCAAGCGCCTTGCTAGTTCTTCATCACTTTCTATTTGTTGTCTTGTAGTTGAAGTCACAACACCAGACTAAAAACATGAAAACGAATCAGTTAAAAAAAAAAGACCCTTTGCAAAACGTATTATAATATTTCGGTATTTTGCATACTTCAGTTTGAATCGGAATAGCCTCTTCATTACTAAAATTTGGGTCAGACATACCCAATAAAGAATTTATACTTGATTCCAATTCACCGTTATGTTCATTTAAAACTGCCTCACATATTTCAATATCAACATCAGGGAACATTAAAGTTAATGTTTTGAGTGCATCATTAGTTCTTTGATCCGTCATAACAATTCTTTGATCCTCAACATTAGTTCTTTGATCCTCCACATTAGTTCTTTGATCCTCCACATTAGTTCTTTGATCCTCCACATTAGTTCTTTGATCCTCCACATTAGTTCTTTGATCCTCCACGTCAGTTCTTCGGTCCTCCATGATTAAAGATAGGAAGTTGAAGTTTCTGATATATAAATAAAAGAAAAACTAGTATTTATATAACTAGTTACTTGCTTGACCTGTGGGCTTATTATAGCCGAGCACTGGCCAAGCGGGTACTGATTTTGCACTGCCCTTTAAAGTTACACGCATTGAACCTTTTTATGGGCATGCCTTCCTTATATTGGATAAAAATTGGTTTTGGACTTTAATCCATAAATTTGATTGGTTGAAATTATATAGTAGTGCTAGCAGGGATTTACTTATCGTTATTGTTGGTTTCAGAATTAAAAATGCGGGATAGATACTTTCAAATTAATAATAATAATCTTTGTCATTAAAAAAAATTTATAAATTTCATGAAATGGGTCCCTTTCAAAAATCTTTTGCTACACAAATAAAACTTTTAATATCTCCACGTATTTATTTCTGAAATACGTTAATTCTGAAACACCCCCCATTTGCACACAATCCAAAAAAGGAAAAACATAATACGTTAAATTAAAGATTCAAAGTTACGTAGTATGATATATAGTTAGGATAAGTGACAATTTTCATATGTAAAATTAGTTCTCAACACTTTTTTAATTAGTGCTCTAAGTTGCTTTTTGTGTTGCTAGTAAAATTATCTGTTATTGGACTCAGGAAGATGTTCATGTGATAGGTTATACGTAAAAAGTACTAGGGCGCGGGAGAAATTATGATACGTAATGCTGTAATAACCTGAATTAAGAAAATAAAATTTATTAACGGACGTTACGTTTTTGGAAAGTAATGTACTTTAAAGTCATGTCCGGGCATGATTTACATTTATAATTTAGTCCGATTTATCTACGTCTGTGCGGACATTGTCTGATGACAATTTACATGTTTGGACATGTCAAATATAATTCATAATTTTATTTCGATATAACAAACCGTTACAGGTTCTACCGAAATCTCTTATTTCAGTAAATCCTTATAACAATAATGAGTGAACTTCCTATGTTCGTCTTTGAAATTCTAATATTATCACTTCCATAGCGAATACAGTCAGTCGTTACAATTTGCGTTTCTGTGGAGAAGGAGGTGATTCACTAATTATTTTGGTAAGATACTCCAACTTGTTTTCGGAAAGGTCATATTCTTCTATTTCGGCTCTGTCAACAATTTCTTGTATATCTTTTATTACTTCATGGTTCTTTTGGAGAATTTCCTATAAATAAAATAAAAATTAATAAATAAATAAATAAATAAATAAAATAAGTAGACTATGAAAATATTTTATTAATACCTCAATCTGTAAGAAAACTTCAAATGCGCCAGCAATATCATGATTTTTTTTAATATCATGAGAAATTGGAAGTTTAACCGGATGAGAATTCGGATATGTAATAACCCGAATTTTATTATCTTCGCTTATTTGATACAACATTAAGAGAAGTTTCTCATCTAAAATTTGTAATAAATAAATATAATAAATATAGTAAATGTGGTAAAATAAAATAACCTGCCTTTTGAAAACAGTCCAATCCATTGCATTTCACAAAACAATTTTTTTAACTTTAATGGAATCTTTCGAATTTTTTTGACCCAATACAAAATGAAGCTATTGGCGGCATCATGAAGCATTCTGCATAGCTTATTATAGTCTCCATTTGATGGCACATTTAACCGCTTGGCCTCACAAATAAGAAGGTAAAGTTTTAATCCACTTTCAGGAGAAAATGTTACACCTTTCTACAATATATATGATAAAGTGTAATTCCTTATTGTTAAGTTTCTGTATCCATAATAAATTTGTTTTTGTCATTTGGAAGATACACAGGCATTTCCTGAATGTCTTGAATAATAACTGCCATTTCTTGTATAGATTCACTATTGTCCAAAGAATTATCTTCAGATTTTTTAAATAGACTTTTTATTTTATTTAGGCTTGATGGCCATCTCTCAAAAGGTGGTTGATGATATAATTTTTTTCTTTCATAAGAGTATTGTGCCGGATGTTCAGGACTAATAAAAATTTGTAATATTTAAATTTTGTTTAATTTTTAATATTAATAAAAAAAAAAATTTTTTTTTTAAGCAATCTTGTCTTTATTCATCAGAACTACTATTCTAATGATTGTACAATATACTTACATTTTTATAGTATAATGTTCTAGTCTAATAAAAACTCACCAAGCAAAATGCCCAATGCGACCCGCTATAACAACAATTTGTCTCACTCAGGATCCAACACTTTCATCGAATTTCGTACTAACAAGAGTACTTCCCTTAATCACAGACAGGTTGTTGTCTACCTTGTCAAGATCACCCATCTTCTTTTAAAACTTTTTCCACCTAGATCCTGGCAGAATAATTAAATCTCTTACATTTGTTTAAGGGAAGAAAATAATACCAAAATTTACGAAAGACCGGAAATTTAAAGCATATACAAACAAGAATCAAACAAAAACCCTAAACTTTATTTATACATAAAGGGAAAAAGATAAAAAAAGCAAAAAAAAGACAGGCGAATCTGACATATATAAGAAACAGAAGTGCACTATTATAACCCGTGCCAAGTTGATAAAAATTATAACAAGAGCAACATCTGTATATCTCTACTGTAAGACTATGCCTTATTGTTATTTTTCTTTCCGACCCAACTCTGGATTTTTCTGTAAATCTAATTCGTATCTCAAGCAGGTACTGCCGCTGTCCATAGACCCATATCTCAAGCCACTTGCTGCTGTAATTAGGAATTCCTTTTTCGACTGGGACCCGTTCCAGCACTTGCACGTATTGCCATCTACCGGCCTATCCGAATTTGGAGGTAAACAATGTCGATCTTTTGGAGGGGGTAAGCCAAATCCTCACTTTTTTTGAAAAATTTTGGAAGACTGACAAGAAGGTGAGTAGAAGTAAAGTAGAAACCACTTGGCCAAGTAAAAGAGTGTGGATTGAAGAAAAAATAGCTTTTGTTGTTTCCCCTGTGTTCTCCTTCAGGAATAAACAGCTTAGGTAACTTCGTCGACGAAGAAAACACTAGTCCCTTCACCAAGATTTTGTATCCAAGGGCGCACACCTCCTGCTAGTTATCTTGTCTACCAACGCTCTTGGCTTGTATGTCGAACGCACAACTTATAGAGGAGTCCCGGAGCAGAAACTGTTGACCTCTAGGCAAACTGTTACGTTAGACTACGTCAACTCCAACAAAAGTTCATTTTTTTTTAGTGAGAAATTTTGGTCCAAATAATTGTCGGGAAAAGTTGTTGTCATTTTAATTTTTTTAATAAAATCTTAAATATTGATTTTAGCTATATATTTTCTAAGTAAAATATTTAATTTTAGATTTGTTTTATAAACTTTGTTAAGAAAATTTTTTAAAATTACTAAAAAACTTTAGTATAATAAAAGTTCAAAGTTCTTGTATTAGAATTTTTATTATAAAATTTTTTTTTAACTTTTTTTAACTTTTATATGTTTTCGCCTTTAAAAAAAATCTTTACTCTTAAGACAAGTTTTAATTTTTATAATTAAATTAGAGTGCTTCCAGAAATTATGTGATTTTGGGGTGGTGGGTGGGATCTCCAAAATATCAGGTTATAATTCTAGTCAAAATTTTATAATTTTGGCCAAAATTATAAAATTATATAATAATAAAATCTTTAAACTTGCATAACTTTTGATTCACTAAGCCTATTTAGATAATTTAGCTACCAAAATAATTCTCTTAATGAGAGGAGTTTAGCAAGTCCAAAATCATTAAAATCCAATTACAAGATCACAAACTAGATAATATTTTGTATTATTTTATATATATTTAAATAGTACAAAAAATTATTTAGGATAATTTCACAACTCTTCCCAACGATCATTTAAACCAAAAATCTGACTAAATAAAAAAACAAAATTTTTGTTGGAGAGACGTGGCTATGAAGTGGTTTGTCTAGAGATCAACGTTAATTGCCTTTCGAGACTCCTCTAAAGAGACATTTGGCATGCAAGCCAAAAGCGTTATTATACAAGATAACTGGCAGGTGGTGCCCTTGTATGAAAAATCTTGGTGGTGTTTGGGGTTGGCTCCATCTCTATTGACGAAGCTATCTAGCTGTTACTTCGAAGAAGAACACAGAGAAAACAACAAAACTTGTGTTTTTTTGAAGCCGCACTTCTTTACTTGTTAAGTGGTACCCTTCTCACCTTCTCTCATTTTTTTTTCATCGGTCTTTCAAAATTTTTGAAAAAAGTAGGAATTTGGCTTACCCCTCCAAAAGGTCGGCATTGTTTATATTCTAAATTCGGACAAACTCAGTAGAATGCAACCATGTGATGTGTTTATTTACAGATACAGCGCTATCTCATGGGAGTTGGATCGGGACCCTGGTTAATGAGATATCCGAAGTTGGTCAGTTAGTCAGAAAGGAAAATATATGTTAAGGCAAAGCTTTACAATAGAGATATACAACTGTTGCATTTGTTATATAAT